GAAGAAAATCCACATACTCTAGGAATATCAGTGAGCCTGATTGTAAGCAAGAGAACAATGCATTGAAAGGTCAGATTAAGAACATTTCTGAATTATTTCTGCAGGTAATCAAATTAAAACAGTTTTAAGAACAGAGGTTTGATTTTGAAATAGAAAATTTAAGCAAGTTGATACGTCAGAGAAAGGATTACAGGAACCAGGGAAGTCAGCCCTTTTTCATTCAAAGCATGCATACACTGATAATTAAGAATTGGCTGGCATCCATTTTAATATTAAATTCTTGAAAGTAAGATGGTATGGTAGAAATGTTAGCAATTAAATCATCACTAAAAATTATATTAATCAAATTAAAGGGAGTTAAATCAGAACGACCATTTATTTTATTCCCCTGAAAATTACCCATAAGCAGGTTCTGTACAATATGCCCTGAATATAGATAATATATGCACTGAATGTTTGTGTGTGAGCCTGTACATTCAACTATTGTTAATAGTTCAAAGATAGTCTCTGATATTTTAGTTTTATAAAAATACTGTACATTGTCATCTTAAAGTTCCACTGCTTAGTAATAGTTACAAAAAACAACTAATTAAACCGATTTGCTGTGTTTCAGACATTTTGAAGGAGGCACCAACAAATGACAGCAAAACTACTGTCATTATTAGATGTTGGACGACATCCCCAGGACAGCTGTCTCCCCTCGTTGATATGCTGCAGAACATCTTCTTGCTCCAGAACAAGGAAACCGGGGGAATGAGGCGTGGTGGGCTCAACACCACGCGAAGGATGGTGTCGGGGAACTCACAGCAGGGACTCCCCTAAATACATGCTCCCACTACCTGATTCTCTTTCTCTGGGTCTTGGTGACGGGCTAATTAATCTGGAGAGTGGAAACCATTTTAAATACTGAACAGAATGGCTTAAAACGCACTTAAAACTTTAGTGACATCCTCATCTGTGAAAAAAGGATGAAGAGATAGCATTCATTTGCATCCCTTCATTATAAAATGTTCTACATACCAGTAAAGGTGTAGTAAATGTTTCTTGTTTTCTTAAAGGAAAACATCCATGTCTGTTACTCATCTGCAACTAAAATGAAAAGGGGATTTTTGCCTTCTGAACACTGAAAGGCAATTGGAAACTCACTGATTAAACTGAAAGAACAGATCCTTCAAGTCTTCCTACTGATAATTGAGTGAAAACAAACCAATCCACGACATAGGCACCACAACCCTCTCAATAGGAAGGGTGTGTGGGTGTGTGGGTGTGTGTGTGTGTGTGTGCCTGAGAGAGAGAGATTCCTTCTTCCTGAGGCTAATAGTAAATGCTGAAATTGTCTATGTAAGTGATTGTCGGACTGGAAAAAAAGAAAGGAACTCTAATGCAAGTATTTATACCTTCTGCAATGAAAACAAGATATTATTGCTTTGCATGACCTTTCCTAAGTATGGGATACAGTATTTTACACAATAGTTTCTTGGTTCATGCTGCAATTACTGACCTTTACTGTGTAGAAAATTAATGCAATTTTCATTGTAATCCATCCATACAAATAAGGTCCACATGAAAAACCCCACACATAGAATCTAATACACATAGGAAATGTCAGCTGATCACTGTGGCTGAGCTTAGCCATTATCTGTCTGTCCCAGGGTCCTCGGCAAACTAGACTTGAACAAGCAGGTCCTCACATGGCCAATGAGGTATAAGAAAGAAAGGTTTTTTGCCTTCAAAGTTTAGATTGTTTCCTAAAATCCAAAAAGCCAAACCCACAGAAGAAAGAAAATCGGCGTCTAGCCTGTTGCTAATAAAGGTCCCTGCCATGGACGTCTAAGACCAGAAGGAGCAAGAGGCTACAGTGATGTCATTTTGCAACAATCCCGTTGCAGACCATGGAAGCAAGACAGACCCCAGACGGTGTCCTGGTTTCTGCGAGAAAGACAGGCAGAATATGGGAATGTGTCCATCTCCCAGGGAGCCGTGCCAAAGGGCCCCGGGTGCTTTCATCTCCCTCTGCTGTCCCCGATGGTATTTGGTGGGAAGGGGCACTGGCAATTACCGGGTGTCACTTTCAAGATGGATAGTCAGGGCAGAAAGGAGTTCCTCTTCTGGTTTGGAAGGAAACGACTGTGTGTTTATAATTTAAACAGATCGTCTCTCCATGGGTGTGTTACAGTTCCCAGAAGCGTGACTTGTCATGTCCAACGAGCAACAGAAGCCAGAGAACCCCGCCGGTAGGGCAGAGAGACAGTGGGCCGCTGGGGCGGGGAGTGTGGCCTAGGGAAGGCGCGAATGGGCAGCGACACGTGCAGCCAGCGGGAGGCTGCCGGACGCGGAGAAGAAACGAGGGAATTGATCTCTACGTGAACGACGTGCGTCCCGGGGTCTCCCCACTGAGATTCCCGGTGGCACAGCTATTTGCGACCACATGGATGGAGGTGGAGGGGACGATACTCAGTGAACAAGTCCACAGGAGAGAAACTAGTACCAGACACTTTCCCTCCTGGAGGGAAATCTGAGGGTATGAAGGATACAGAGAATCAAAACCAGGGAAGTGACAAAACTAAACCAAAACCAACCCCCGAAATCTAACTGTAGAACTGAGGCTACCAGAGGGGAGGGTGCACCAGGAACAGGGAGGGAGACGCCCCAATAGACTGTCAGAGGGTATTGGGTGCTCTGGTGCCAGGTGTGTGTGATCACCTCCATCGGAAGAGGTGAGAACCTGTACCCCGAAATCCTGTAAGATTTCGTCAGTTAATGTTACAAAATGAAATGATTCAGAGAAGAAAGGAAGTTCAGTGTCCCCTAACAATAGAAGGGTTTTGCTAATAATAGGTTTAAGTACCAAGTCTTCTTTTTAGACTCACTCGCTTGTCTAGAAGGTAACAAAGAAATAAAAACTCCAGGAGGTGAAAGAACAGGGAGGACACTAAAAGTCCCCATGAAAAAGACAATGCAGTATCTCCAGGGGGTAACTGCCCAGGAGAAGCAAGGGGAGATGCAGAGCTGACACCCCATGCGGGGCGGGAACGGGCGGGGCAGGGGCGGGGCAGGCCAGCAGGGTCCCTCTAACAATGTTTGTATGGAGGCAACAGTCCCAGGGCTCTCTCCTAAGTGGGGCTGTGGTCCACTGCAATCACCCTTGCCCGGAAAGTCCTGAAATTCAGTCCAAGGAGTCCTGCCAGCAGGACCCCGAGCCCTTAGACACCTTGAGGCATCTCAGTAGAAGGTTTGAAAATGATGACCACTCCCCGTCTTCATGACCTGAATGTGTTTCCTGCCAATGACTCAACTGCACTGTCCCATTCGCTGACTGCTACTGGACGTTCTCCTTCACCCAGTGGGCCAAAGACATGGGCACAGTGATCTGTAACAGGCAGATGCCACCCTCTTCCAGGGACACTTCGTTGCAATAGGCAGGTCAAAGTAGCAAGAGAGGTTCCTCACTCCTGACACGCGACACGTCTGTGCAAGGAAGACACACGCCACTCGCCCTCACTTGCACGAGCCAGACTTCCCTGGGGAGGTGGGGGAGCTGTGGAGCCTGGGGTGGAGCTGAGTGGCCAGGTTCACCCACATAACAAAGGAGGCAAGTGGATACTTGCTCCTGCATCTCTGGCTTTGCTTTGCATTCAAGGACTTGCAGGAGACACACAGAGGAGAGTCCTGTAGAAATACTTGGGAGAGGCACGTGGCCAGTTGCTCCTGATCGTTTGCTCCTGGTCCTTCGCATGCGACATCTTGATTTGTACTTTGAATGTTGAGTCTCTCCTGACCCAGCTGTCTGGAACCTTATGATCCCTAGCCGTCAAGAACCTTAGACTTGTGGTGAGTTGTTGGGCTGATCCTATTTGGTTGACAACTTGCCCACAAGGGGGTGGGTAGTTGGAGGGGATGGGGGTTACTGGGAAGCTACTATGAGGACTCGCCTCTCTTCTCTCTCTGTGCACACTAATTCCATTGAAAAGCTTTCCTGGGCTCTCCCTGGTGGCACTGCATTATGAAGCTCTCTGAAGGCACTGTAGCATGAGTACTATCCCCAGCCAGGGAGCTGACCCACGTGGTGTGGCAGACCTCTCCTGACCCACCCACCGCTCCCCTCAGCAGTGTACTTTGTCAGTTGGCCTGTTCTGCTCCCCACTCTGTCTCGGGTGAATCCTCTCACCCACACATCTTTAGCCTGTACCCCAGTTCTGTAAGCATAAATAAATAAATCTTTTAAAAAAATTTAATGTCTAGACTCACTGACCAAAGACAGCGAATAGGCCCTGATTCATGACAAGGCCATCTGTGTCAGGGAGCTGGTTCTTTTATGAATTCATTCATGGACTTTTATCTTAGTACTTACTCTTAAACTTCACCTTTCCCTCATCTCCTCCGCACCCCCCCAGGCCTCTGTGCCCCTCCATCACCAGCCCCAGACACCCCCCAGGGCTGTGGGGGTGACAGGACATGCGTGAAGCCAGGAGCAGCTCATGGCTTTTTTTTTTTTTTTTATTCCAGAAGGTTTGTCTGAAAGTATAATGACAACAAAAGCAGCAGATTTGAGAGAGTCTCCCAGGAGAAGCAAAAGGACAGATGTACACAGGCATAGAGCTGCAAACGCTGCCAGCAACAGCTGGGAGGTGACAGGCTCTGAGGTGGGTGACCACCCCGCCGAGCGCAGACGGGACCCTAAAGGCGCAGCCATTTCACTTGATTCACTTTTGACTTCCCAGGCTCCCTTTCATCTACCAACGGGAAGGCTCATTCCGGCTTGCCTCAGATGACAGCCTCTTAGAGGGGAGCTCTTTATAGCATTTCAGTGATTCCTTCTCTTGCACTCCTTTTCATCCTCATTTTAAAAGCTTTGAATGCATAGCCTGTGTTACAAAAATATTACCATGCTAGCTATTCTATTGTGCAAATAAATAAATAACACAACCAGAGCGACTCGGAAGAAAGCTACCTGAGGAAACCCCCGTGTCCCCTCTGTGTTCTTCCAGTGAGACACTCACCTTGTCGTCCTCGTCATCCTCCTCATCCACGTCTGTGCCCTCCTGAAAGAAAACCCGCCTTGTGTTAACAAAACAGCCACTGAAATTACCAAATGCAAATTAAGTTCATCCACACTTTAAAAGTTTTTCCTACATCTGGTAAGCACACATCTCTTTTAAATACAGTATCACCTCTTGAGAAAAAAAAAAAATCACTTTGAAAGTCCAGGGACATGGCGGCCAGGATGATAAGCACTACACATCATTTACATAAAACCGTTCACCACAATAAAGCTATTAGGTAAGTGCCCTTTGAAGCATCCAGCTTTAAAAAGGCATTGCTGAGTTGTGTGCTCTGTAAACAGTTTGGTTCTGCCTCTGACAAATGAAGCCAGCGCCGTGTGAAGGCTGAGAGCACCAGGTTCTCTTGTGCAGGCTCGCTGTCTGGCTGCACTTTCCCTTTGGGGTCATTTCTGATACATCAGATGACAGAAAGCGCTTTAGTGTGAACATACCGACTCGACAATAGGTGACCGGTTGTTCCACGGTGTTACTGTTTTCCTTGGGCTTCAGGGTTGGGAGGGGCAGGTGTAGGAAGGGAATTCAAGGCTCTGACCTGGGTTAAAAGGTACCTAGGTTGGTACAGAGCAGCTGTGCTAGAATAGGCTGATTCAGGTGAGTGTAGACATCTTGGCTTCTTACCAGGTAAATGTCAATTACACCCCTGCAATATTTAAAGCAAACAACATCGGCGCACAATCCAATGGGCCCATTAGCTTGGAATAAGTACTGGGCATTAGAACACCAGGATCTCTTTTCCAGCTTACTTACCTTTCTGCTTAACCTTGCAAAAGTCACGCAGGCAACTTAGATGCCATTGTTCCAATAGGAAAATAGTATTGCCAGTAGTGTACTCCTAAAAGGGAGTAACTGAAGTATCCAGAGGGTTCTCTGCTATACTCCGTAAAGCCCATGAGTAGTCATAAAGGAATTTCTCCAGGGCTGGCACCTCACTGCCTCCCAGAATTCCCAGGAGCTTCAGCAAGCATCTGACATGCACAATCCTGGAAAACTAAACTATTCACCATCAGTGGTGGCTGTGACGGGCAAGAGCAAACAGATAAATATGCACACGATGAGCACTTGCTCTGGACAAAATACTATCACCTGGCCATGGGTCTTCAGCCCGAGACGCTGCCTCAGCACTGGTTTTCAGCGTGTCTCTGAATAAATAGCTTTGCCACTCTGAGATTAGGTGTGTCCAGCATGACACAAAAATAGTAAGTCCTTGTGGTTCTGCTATTAAGTTTAAACTAAGCAACAAATTGGGGAATGGCTGATAAGTAAAAAAATTTAAACACATACACAAATTGCATATGCACATACACATAAGCTTACTTCTGGATCTGTGTGTGTGTGTAAGAGAGAGAAGGAAAACCTACCCATAAAGGCGTATCCAAGACCACATGTATCTACCAACACACTAGAAGCACACACATCATGTATAGAGCTGGAAAGGAGATTCTGATGAAAAACTGTGAAAGCATTAGTTGACAGCTTTTCTGTAAAAACTTCCCTCATCTGTGCCCCAGCAAAACTAAATCCTTGAGCCTGCGCTGTGTAATTATATCTATATCAGTTGGCTCCCGCACCTCTGAGCCCTCATGATTGATCTATGCCCACGTAACTGCTCTGAACAAGCAAACGTCAGCATTTCCCCACTTTCCCAAACAAAATCCTTAGCATTCACTGTTTCAAAGATGATGTTTATAAACAATGAGAACATTTTCAGAAAAACAGGTGGAGCCGAGGCAGTGACCTTCTGGATGTGAAGGGGGCCATCGCTTTCAAAGGGATGCTACCAAGTTCCAGCCCTAGATTTTTCTTCTCAAAGCCTATTTCTTGAATCTGGAAAGCCAGGACTAGCCCAGCAAGCAACCAAAAACTACAAGTTCCTGTTCCCCCAGATCAGGAAAGGACGCCTTGGGCTGTAACGTGAGGGCCATGGAGGCAGTGGCTAGAAGAGGCTTGCAGGGGCCCCGTTCAACCCCAGAGGAGCTTGTGAATGAGGGGAAACACGTAGACACTCAACAGAGCCGTCCAGGCCCAACCAGTCGATGGCCTGGGAACAGGCAGAACCTGAAGAGTCCGCTAAACCTTCAGGCCAGAGCCCAACATCTCCGTCCTGTTGGGGGTTCTGGGGCCCCTTGGAGCCAGAAAATTACATCTCTAGTGACCGAGATTGCGATTCACAGGAAGCTGGCCAAGAAGCCGGTGGGGACACAGACATGGGCTTCCAGCGTGGAAATGACCAAGGGTTGGTTGGCTCCCCCCACTGCGAGTGGAGCCTGAGAGCATAACTCGCCACACGAGGCAGCCACCATGCTTCTCTGGTAAAAGATCTGCCCATCAGTCCTTGCAGCGCTGGACTGCTCCGAGCCCCGCGTGATATGGAGCACGGAGTGGAGGTGTTTACTGCTAACACCACTTTCTCCCATCAAGTCTCAGCATGAGTGAAATTTTGGCTCACCTGACTGTCCTGGATGCTGCCGACCTTCCCTTTCGTGGGTCGGAGGAAGTTGTAGATGAAGAGCAGCAATAATGCCAATGGGATCATGTACAGCTCAAAATTCCAGACAGTGACCAGGAACACCTGAGTGGAAGACAAGGAGAACTTAACGGCGGCTTGATAGAGCGGTAGGGGAGCGATCTTGAATTCTTACTTGTTGATGTAAGGAGACTGGACCAGGGACGCTCTAGAAATATTCTAAGGTTTATAGAAACACTTTCCCACAGGATAACACACGCATTAATACAGCTTTCCTACTGGTAAGAGGATGAAGATGCAGCCTGAGTTGGCCCACCTTGTTCTGGAACAGAAGACACAGCAGCCACACAGCAGGAAAGGCCAAGCTCTCCCCACCCTCATCTTCTCTTGGCTCCCCTATTTTGTGTGACAGGATTTAGATAAAGGCCACAACCAGGCAGACCACAGATCCAATTTTCCCATATGAACTGGAAAGAGTCAATATTTAAAAAGCTGTCAATATTTAAAAATCCAAACACTGGGCTTCCCTGGTGGCACAAGAGGTGAACACGCAGCACTATGAAGCTATCAGCAGCCACTGCAGCAAAAGTTCGATCCCCAGCCGAAGGAGGTGACCACATGGCACAGCAGACCTCTCCTGACTAGCCTGCTGCTCCCCTCAGCAGTGTATTCCAGTCGATCTACCTGTTCTGCTCCCCACTCTGAATCCTCTCACCTCCCACATCTCTGGCCTGTACCCCAGTTCTTGTATGCATAATAAATAAATCTTTAAAAATAAATAAATCAATAAAACCTTCACATTTTGAAGGTCTTCTTACACCATGTTGAGGCGTTGGCTACAAGAAAGTAAGGCACCAGAACTGTCTACTTTAGACAGGCATATACTGACCAGCTTTATTAGCCTCAGATTGAGTTAAGCCTCCTGAATGCAAGAATCCCTGCTAGGAAGGTGGCTGAAGACAGGAATGCAAATAAGACATGGCCCCCCTCCCAGGAGCATGCTAATTAGTTAGACTAATAAGAGAAGAACACAGGACAGCTGTAACATGAGCCAGGAGTGAAATTTTGGACAAATTACTTCAAAACTTAAGCCTCACTTTCTTTTTGAACATGCAGGTAGTTGAGAAGATGAGATAGAATAATTGTGGTTATTAGCTGTCAGCAACTAAGTGCTTGAAAAAGTCACTCTTGAAACATAACACCTTAGAAGAAGCAAATTGCTGCATCTTAAATACCCAATCTTCCTTTCCAGAGCAGTTCTGTTGTGCCTATTACTAAAAACTTTAACTATTTTAAAGTTTTCTTTTTCTGCACATTTTATATTTCTTTTTTCAATTGCTATCCCAAATAAAATCACAATTTTGGGGGTCTTTCTGGAGGTCAAGGGGTTAAGCCTCAGCTCTGCCACTGTGAAGGTCCATCAAGGATAGCATGAGTGTGATCCCAGGCCAGGGCCAGGCCAGGGAACTGACCCACAGGGTACAGCAGACCTCTACTGACTCCCCACTGCGCCCCCCAGCAGTGTTATTTCAGTAAATCTGCCTGTTCTGCTCCCTACTCTGTATCTGGTGAATTCTCTCACCGCCCCCTCCCACCTCACAACCACCCCACCCCCAAACACACACACACATCTCTGGCCTATACTCCAGTTCTTCTACACAAACAGCAACAAAAAATCTGTTTTAAAAACTCACATTTTTCTTTTCCTGAGTAAGTATAGAAGTTTTCAAACACATTTTCAATCAGTGCAGACAATGATGCTATTGATTTCTTCCAATCTAATAACCTGGCATGCCTTCACAACTTTTTTTTTATTATTTCATTCGTACCATTTACTATGGTTTTCTATTTTTTTAAGGTCTCTGTTTGACATTTTGTTTTGTTTTTGCTTTATTATGAATAACATAGAGAAAATAGATGGTATAATATAGTAATTAGGTAAAGATGTTCCTAATCGTTACCTATTTTTCTTCTGATCTCAAAGTTCTTGTAGGATTAGGGTTTTTAATTTATGCTAAATGGTTACTGTTTCTAATGTCCTTTTACTGGCTAAGTGGGAATTTAATGTTCTTTTAAATGGCCAAATACTTTCAAGTACAATGGGAGGTCGACATAAAATTATTGAGAAAAATTAGGAAACAACATGCTTATTTTCTTCATCATAAAGCTACTAGCAAAGTCTTGTTTACTACTAAACATTAGTTATACCAACATTGGGAGGATGGCACCTCATTTGCCATAACATTCACCACTCTCAGGTATAGTTAAGCAATCCCAGAAAGCATTCCACAACAAAAATTGAGTCACACTTAAACATCACATTCAAAAGACCTAAAACTTTTACAGTCAGACATAGTGCCTTTAGAAATGTTTTTAAATCAATCCATACTTTCTAAAATTAAAGATTAAATTCCCTACAAATATCTTCCAGCAAAAATAAAAAGAAATCCTGGGAAAAACTGAAGCAAACACCATCTGAAAGTCTGAGCCAAAGGTATTAACCCTTTGGCAAGGGAGTCGAAAATTTGGAAGAAGAAACTAGGTCTTCACAGGGTCCTTGAACATGTTTGTACTTGTGATCTAGAGGAGCCATGCTCATGAATGGAGAATGAATGGAGAATAGAGGCAAATCAGTCTGGGACGACCCAGACACCATGAGGCAAGATGGACACTGGGAAAAAATAAGCAAGCAAAGGATTCTATATATAAACTCTGCACCACCTGTGCTAAACTAATGGGGCCACATTCTAATTAGGAATCAAAGTGGCCACATGCTCTGTGAATTAGGTGACATTTGGGGAAGCACCTAAGAATAGGGAGTGGTTGTCAGATGAACCAATCATGTGATTCAAACTGGAATCACAGGTCCAGAATCACAGTTCCAACTGTGGCTGGAACTTCCACTGACTACTTCAGACCTCCAGGGGTGTGAAGGAAGATGGAGATTGAGTTCAACTGCCAATCACTAATAAACTAATCAACTATGCTTATTGAATAGACTTCATAAAATCCCCAAAGGAGGCACTTCAGAGGACTTCTGTGTTGATGAACATGTGGAGATTTGAGAAGAATACACAAACACTTGGGGAAGGGCATTGAAGTTCTACAGCCTTTCCCTACACCTTGTCATATGCAATAAAAACAACAACCCCCCTCAAAAAAAGTAAAGACTTAAGAGCTGAACACCTTATACAGAACCCCAAGCAGAATAAATTTTTATGAAATAGGCTTACATATATCATCCCACTTCTGGAAAACAAAGATAATGAGAAAATTTTGAAAGCTACTAAAGACAAATGACACATTCTAGACTTGAGTAAATGGCATGGATTTCTCATAAGGAAACATAAAAGCAAGGAGATAGTACAAAAGTATTAAATAAAAACAAAATCATATATCTGTCAACCCAAAATCCAATATCTGATAAAAGTATTCTTCAAAAGTAAAGGTGAAATAAGATCTAGGTAAGATAAAAATAAAAGAATGCTTTCGCAACATAGCTGTACATCAATAAATGCTAAATTCTTCAGAATGAGAGAAAATGATAACAGATTCTCAAACTTTAGGAAGAACAAAGAAACATCAAAAAACAGATACATAGGAATACATAAGCAATTATTATTTTTGTCTCTAGAGCTCATGTGACTAAAGCAGTGTTTGTAACAATATCCTGCTGGGTGGGGTTTATTAAAGTATTTATAAAGTATATAGGGAAATTCAAAAATAAAGGAGGGTAAAGATGGGTGGACAAATGGACTTAGATGGATAGAAATGCTTTTTATTTTAGACGAAAAGAGAACATATTAAACCTAAATTAATTGTGAAACTTAAGGGACAGTTACATGCACATACAGATTTATAGTACTCACTACAGAATAATGCAAGAAGGAACAGAAAATATTTAAATGCTATTTTAAAAGGCAAGAAAGGGGACACAGAAAAACAAGAATATGGAATATAATTAAATGGAAACCAAAATTCAACAATATCAATAATTCCATTAAATATTAATGAAACAAATAGTATAAGCAACAATGGCAAAGATGAGAATAAAATAACTCTAGCAGAAATATTTGATAATTGAAAAAGGGAAAAGAATTAGAGTATAGAGTATGTACCAAGAATGCAAGAGGGTTTCACATTTGAAAACTGGTATAATTTACCATACTGATAGAATGATTTGTTAGGAGAAAACCTTTGTTTATATCAATTGATAGGGAAAAACAACATGACAAACATTCAGTACTCTTAACAAATAATGAGTATAGAGAATAAATCCCTTCTGATAAAGGACATTTATAGAAACTTTACAGTTATAGTTGATCATACTTGGTACTGGCTGAGCATACTTGGCAGTGGATTATCACATGTAAATTTTGTCTTGAAAATTTAATTCTAAAAAATCAGTACATACTAACAGGGAAGCTACTAATACACACAGTCACATGAATAAACCTCAAAAACATGAAGTAAAAAAAGTTTTGTAAAAACAGCAAATGCTATATGGTTCCATTTATGTAAAGCTAGAAACAAAATAATTCTATGATGGAAAAATTGCATGATTTCTTTCTAAAATGAGGAACAAACAAAGTTGTCTGTTTTTACTACATTGATGTTCTAGACACTGCAGTAAAGCAAAAGGAATACAATAAAAGGCATAGATATCAAAAAGGGAAAAAACTCTCACAGATGGCATGACATTTTACACAGAGAATCCTAAGGCATCTACAAAACAAGTTGTTGAAATGTAATCCAAAAGTAACAGGGTGCAGAGTCATTTTTAAAAATCAATTTTATTTTTACATACTAACAGCAAAAAAAAAAAAACTGGAAAATTAAAACTTGAAATTTCCATTTATGACAACACCAAACCTCATAAAGATAGAAGAGAATAAAATTCATAAAACACAAGTAAAATCTCTTCACTGGAAATTATAAAATACTGTTAAGCAACATTATAGATTTTCTAAATAAATAAACAAGAGATGTAACCATTTACTACAACCATTTACTACATTTACTATAGATACAAGTGATCCCAATTTAGTAGAAATTGACAAGCTGAATTTGCACATTACCTGGAAATGCAGATGAAACAAAGCACT